GAACACACGCTCCCGAAATCTCTGGACATGCCAGCCTCGGAGATCCGAGTCCCGAGGCTCCTCCAGGGCCGGCGGCTGCCGGGTTACGGCGCTGCCCGCCCCACGCAAGGCCGCCTCGGCCAGGCTGGGAGCTGCTCTGCCCTCTCACGTGCACCCTGGACAACGGAGAAGAGGTGGGGGAGGCACAGTTGTGGCTTTGGGAGGCTGGGCAGCAGGTGAGTGGTCTCTCTGGTGGCCCTTGTGGGGCGGCTGGTGGGGACCGTGGTGGGGGATGCTGGTGGGGGACAGCGACAGCATTCGGGGGCTCGTGGTGGAGCTGCAAGTGGCAGCAATGGGAGGAGCCCCAAAGCACTTTGCGCGACCTCCCTACCTCCGAGATCCCAGGCCACTGGGTGGCGTCCCCAGGGCCTGGCCACTGCCACTGTCGGCAGTGGGTGCATGTTCAGGGCTCTGCCAGGGAAGGGCTGTGAGGCCTGGGGAGCCCGGCACAGCCTGCGGCACCTGCTGTGTTGAAGCGGCAGAGCACGTGGTGAGCAAGTCCCTTCAGTAGCCCGATAAGGACTCAGACCCTTGCTGGCTTTGCTTCTTATCATTGGTTCTGCCTGAGCCAAGAGAGCTCAGAGCTCACGTGGTCCAAAACCAAGGCACAGAGATACTAAGAACAAGACCCACTATTCAGCCACCCAAAGGGAGCGGCGTTGACACCTGCTGCCCTGTGCGTGAGCCCAGAAAACACCGTGCTAAGGCTGAGAAGCCAGGCCCCAAGGCCGCGCACACGCACTGTTAGCTGTGTCCGGAGTAGGCAGGTGATGGCCGCCCGGGGCTCGGGGCAGGGAGGCATGGGGTCTCCTCCGGGCAGGTATGTGGTATTCTGGAACGAGGTAGTACACTCGCCGTCCTACAACCCTCCGCTGAGTAAATGCCATCGTCGCTCCAAAATGCTGAATTCTACACTAGGAGACTCTCACCGGAGTTTAAAAAAATCAGACATCAGAGGAAGAGACTCGAGACCGTGAACCCACCACGGCCTCTATGAGCCAGGTCTGAGGGCAGCCGCGTCACTAGGACACCGCGTGGCCCGCGAAGCCGGCAGCTCCCAACCTTCCTGGCAGAGGGAACGCTCCCAGGGCGGTGCCCGGCAGAGCCGCGAGGCCGAAACCTCGGCCACGTCCCCTGACGCTACCGGGCCTTGCGGTAACTCACGTTCCGGGGTCCTGTTTCCTAACCCTGGTGACGACGGGGGCCCGCATGCGTGCGAAGCGTGCACGGGACTGCAAGCTCAGGACGGGCTCGGCGCCTGCTGCGCCCCAGCTGTCTGCGCCCCCGCTCTGCCTACTCAGCTGTGCAATCCAGGTGAGGAGTGACAGCGGCCCGCCACCCAGCAGGTCGCCCAGGCCACTTCACACCCCAGGGAAAGGGGTCCAGAACCTGCCTGCATGCTGATTCTCAAGCAGCTCCCAAGTCTGCCCTGACCCCACTCCGATCACGTCACCCCCTTCACACACAGCCTGGGACCCTCGACGGCCCCCGCGGCCCCCTCCTCGCGCCCCTTTCTCCATCCCACCACTGCTGCAGGCCCCACTCCGCCCGCCCCCGGCAAGTGAGGTCCCTGTGCAGGGGATGCTCCTCCTCTGTCCACAGGGCTCCCTCGGGCGTCAGGGGACGTCACCTCCTCCGACTCCCGGGCCTCCACCAGGTCCCCCACCCTGGCAGAGGGCTCCTCCTGTCATTAGATCGATCCTCCGCAGGGAGTGCCGCTGTACACAGTAGGTGCTTAATAAGTGACAGCACATGACAGAATAAGGGCCTTGTTTTCCAAGTCAGTTCTTCACCCAGTAGGGGTGTCTCTGGGGGCCTGTCCTGGCCCGAGGTGCCCCGGCGGCCGGGGGAGCCCAGAGGGGTGGCCTGGGTTCTCCTGGCAGCTGCAGGAGACCAGCTGCTTCCTTCTGTTCCTGAAATTGAGGGCTTGGGACTTCAACCCCACGACTTAATACCACGTTTCCTTTGCGATTGAGGCCGTGGGGAAATGAGCCGAGCCGAGGGCAGCTGGGGTGGCGGCTGGCTTTGTTTCTTTAAGCCACAAGAGAATGGAAAAAAAAAAAAAAAAAAAAAAAACCCAGACCAAAATACATGTTGTTTTCTACTTTACCCTGGGACAAAGTCAGCAATGGGAGAAGCAAGGGCCCCGCCTCTGCTTCAGGAGGGGCCCGGGCTTCGGCTTCAGGGTTAGGGGTGCCTTCTTTGGGAACTGGACCAATCCAGGGCCGTGTCCCTCCCTGATGTCACTGGGCGCCCCCAGGCCCCGGCTCGGCCACCCCAGAGAGGGATGCTCAGGTCCGAGCGGCAGGCCAGGCGCTGACCCACGTGGAGAGGTCGGCGCCTCTGCTCTCCTTTCAAGGCTGTGCCCGCCTTTCCTGTTCCGCCCACGGCTGCGCCAGGGGTCTGCAGTGGGGAGAGGCCGGGCAGGTGTTGTGAGCCCCCGGGCCGGGGACCTGCTGGGTTCTGCAGAGACGGTTCTCTGCCTCCGGTGTTCACCTTTTAATCTATTGTGTGCGTGGCATAAAAAGTTCCCAGCTTTGCCGCCCGGAAGCTGGCATAAAGGTCATGGGCACCGAGTGTCTGCACAGGGTTGTGCAGTCATCACCGACCCCGAGTTCCAGAACGTTCCCCTCGTGGAAACCCTGCACCCGGAAGCACTGCCTTCCCACGCCTCCCTCCCGCCGCCTGTGGCATCCGCCAGTCTCCCTGCGTCTGCCTGGCTTCGTGTGGCCCGGGCACTGCGTGCCCAGAACCGGGATCGTGCCTGGCTTCGCTGTGCAGCCCGTCTTCAAGGCTCAGCCGCGGGGAGCGAGGGCCCAGGCCGAATCATCCTGCACTGCACGGATGGACGTCCTGTCTGTCCCCTGAGCCCTCGACGGGCCCTTCCCTCGCTGCTGCCTGTGATCACTTCCCCTGACGACACGGGCTGTGCCCATGGCACGTGGCAGGTGCTTGGTCAACACCACCAGTGGAACGAACGAGGCCGGGTGCCCACCCTGGCCGGCCCCGCCCGGGGCATCTCGGGCCTCTGCCCCACCTACCTGAAACCTGTGCGAGCTGAAGAGCTTCCTCAGGGAGCTCCTGAAGTCGGGAGGGGGCCGGGGCGCAGGGGCGGGGGCGGCCTCGGGGTCTGCAGCTCCGCCCTCCTCGCCGGAAGCCTGTGCAGCAGGCGGCTGCTCCTCGTCCTCCTCGTCGTCCTCCTCGTTCTCCCATTTCTTGTAGTTGACATTCCAGCTGTGGTAGTCGTCCCCCACCACGGTGAAATGTCTCAGGAACTTGCTCATCCTCTCGCCAGGGCCCACCTTGGCCCTGCGGCTGACGGCCTGGAGGGGTGGCGACAGGGGGCGAGCACGTCAGGCGGGCAGTCCTCGCACCCCCGGGAGTGGGGGGCCCAGACCGGGCAGGGCGGCGGCAGTGAGGACGGCCCCTGGGCGCTCGGAGCACCAGGCGAGCAGAGGCCGTGAGGTCACGGTGGTTTCTCGTGCTTTTATTTTTGGCAGCCAGAGTCTCTGTGTCGGTGAGGCAACAGGAAACCCCAGCCCCCCCAGGCCCGTCTCTGTGGTCTGGTTGGCAGTAACCAACAGAATCTGTCCTGTGGCCCAGTCACAAACACCCACGACAGACCCGTGGGCAGGCACCGGAAGAGCCACCCATCACTCCTGAAAGCCGGAGGTGAGAGTGAGCGGGCGGAGGGAGGGGAAAGACAAAAGTAAAAGTACCCAGAGTTCCACAGGGACGTGCCGAGACCCCCACCGTGCACTGCAGGCCCGCCTGACAGGTGAGCGGCAAACGAACTTTTTCCAAGGTTCAGCCACTGCTACTTTAAATACACGGACGGTCGTTTAAAGAGAGCTGACCTCAAGGCAAGAGCAAACAGTCCAGCTTTGCCCAACTCACTCTCCCGGATGCCGAGTACATCAAACAGTAAGATAACAAAGCTCCTGGGTTTGAGAGTAGGCAAGATGTTGGGGTGAACAGGAAGAGAGGACCCCGACAGCCCCGGGTCCCTGTGGGAAGGCGGAGGGGTGCTGGCGGCTGCCCTGACCAATGGGAGAAGGCTGGGGCGGCCAGGCCAGGCCATCCGGCTTCTCCAACAGAGGAGACAACCTGATCCCTGCCCACCCCCCCACCCCCCGCCCCGCACAATCCATTTCCCACCCATTAATGTGTAAAAGCAGATTTTTAAAAATCTTTTAAAGACATAGAAGAAAATACAGGCAGAATCCTGACCCTAGGATGGAGGGAGGATTGCTTAAAGCAACATACAAAGTACAAAACAGATCTGAGTGCATAGAAATTAATAGCTTTTACACAACACACACTCACACACACACAACCCTGCACAGTGACTGCACACCGCTGACTGGGAGTAGACATTTACGATGTAGTTAACAGACAAAACTTCTATCTGGAATATATACCGAGCAATCTTACACACGGAAAAGAAAAACTCCACGGGAAACTGGGCACTGAATATGAACAGGCCGAGATGCGGAAGCTTAGCAGGACCCAGGCAAGCGGGGGCTGAGGTACCCATCACCCATCTCGTCACTCCTAAGGAGTATGGGACCGAGCCTGGGTGAGGGACGCGATGGGGCACTCTGAATTCAGAAGGGACAGACACGGCGCCCGCCTGGGCTTACCTTCCTCAGTGAACCAGTGACCGGGTGCTGGATCGGGCCCAGAGAGAAACCTGCCCACACGTGCTCACACAGGTGACAGTGCAGGAGCGTTCACTGCAGACAGTCACCCCCACGGCGGCCCGGAGTGGCCCGGACCTTGTCTACTGCCGTGATGGACGCTAGACAGCGACAGCTCTGCCCCTCCCTCACCCGTGCCACCCGCCAGCCCCGGCTCAGAGCTCGGAGCAGCACGGGGCATCCCTTCCCTTTCTTCCAAGACCGCTTCCTCAGCCCGGGGCCGCCACGCTCCCTGCCTGGATCCCCGCCTACCTCCATGGTCGCGTCTTGGCCGTGTCCTCTGCTGGCTCCCTTAGGAAGAAGGCCACACAGTTAGGTTTCGGAATTCCCAAGGCTTGGTGCCCTGAGCACCTCTCCCCCTCCAGGACCTCAGCACACAGCTTTCAAAACCATTTCTATGTCGAAGATGCTCCAATACTACCTCCACCCCCACCCCTCGCCCGAACCCTGCGCGCATCGGCACCCTCAGGTATTCCCCAGCTGTCACATGGCCAGCACAGCCAAAGCCACATCAGTCCTGCGTCCCCTGAAGCTGCCCCACCTCAGCTGGTAGCACTTCATTTTTCCTCTTCCGTGGGTCAAAAACTTGGGTGTCAGTCTTGATCTTTCTCTCCTTCAGACTCTCCCTGTCACTAAATTCTGCTGGCTTTGCCTTGAACCCACGTTCCAGAAAAGACAGCTTCTCCCATGTCCGCTGCAAGTCCCTGGTCCAGTGTCTGGCCATCCCCGACCCGGGTTACTGCAGCTGCCTCCTGCCAGTCCCAGCAGCCGTCCTCTATACACGAACCACAACAAGCTTCCTAAAACCTAAGTGAGGGGCTGGCGCGTTAAGCCGCTGCTGCCTGCAACACCAACATCCCACACTGGAGTGCTGGTTCGAGTCCTGGCGATCCTGCTCCCTGCTAATGCGCTCGGGAAAGCAGAAGAAGATGGCCCGAGTGCCTGGGCCCCTGCACCCACGTGGGAGACCCGGACAGAGTTCTAGGCTCCTCGTTTTAGCTGGCTCAGCCCCGGGCCATTGTGGCCATTTGGGGAATGAACCAGTGGATGGAAGATCTCTTTCTCCGCAACTCTGCCTTTCAAATAAATCTTTAAAAAATAAATGAGATCACATCATGTCCTTGCTTAAAAGCTTCAAATGGTCTTTCTGCACACTCAGCCCCTCTCCCTGGAATTCTCTTCTGGAGATATCGACTTGGGGCGCAGCCTCACAGAGGACAGAGCCTGCTCAAACCCTCTCCCTCCTTAACGACCTGCTGCCAACGCCCCGCCTCGCTCGCCCTCCACCTGCTGCTTCCTGCTCCCGGACACGGTCTGCTCGCGACCTCCCAGTCGGCTCTCAGCCCACGAGCAGACCTGCTACAATTGGACACCGGTGTGTAGGGCAGTGCCCCGCACGTCACAGGCGCTCAGAGCCACTCAAATGTCTGGTGAGTGAACGTAGCAGTGTGGATTTATCTTGAAAAATACGCTGAGCGTAAAAGGGAGATAATGGAAGAACAGGAGCAACGCAACACCATTCAAACAGAATTCTAAAAGCCACGGAAAATATTTCTATGTGTTATTTTTGGAGCGTATGAAAACACGAGTGTAAACACAAAAAAGAATGATATTTCTGTGGCTGGCCAAGACAGAGTAACTGGTACCGGACTGTTCCTCCTGCCATCCATTTTTTAAAAACTGAATAAAATACACAAAGCTGTGGTCCCTGAGAGAGGGACCATCACCATCACCCTGGCTTTCTGGACTGTGGAGGGAAGGTTCGTGGTGCAGGGGCTACGAGGCCCCCTCCCTCAGATATCTGCACAGCAGTGTGCTGGAAAAAGCTAAGAGAAGGAGCCCAAAAAAATGGGCCCGGGGTGGGGGTCAGCGTTGTGGCACAGTGGGTTAAAGCTGCCACCTGTGACCCAGCGTCCTGTGAGAGCACTGGTTCAAGTCCTGGCTGCTTCACTTCTGGCCAGCTCCCTGCTAATGCACCCGGGAAAGCAGAAGATGGCCCAAGTGCTTGAGCTCTTGCCACTCACATGGGAGACCTGGATGGAGCTCCAGGCTCCTGGCTTCGGCCTGCCCCTACCCTGGCCGTTGTGGCCATTTGGCGAGTGAACCAGCAGATGGAAGGACCCCCCCCCCCCATTTCTATCTCTATTCCCCTAACTCTGCCTTTCAAATCAATACACCTTTTTTGTTTAAATGGACTTTGGTTGAGTCCTAGGCTGTACATGTGCAGAGCAAGACTTGCCGAGGCAGAGGCAAATCTAACTTTCAGAAAAAAGAACTCTTGGAGACTGTGGGCTGAAAAATACTAGAAATGACGGAAAATTGGATGAATGTGTGCCCTTCCAATAGCCAGAGTAGAGCATCTTCTTCAATCTTTGTGTCGTTTCTTTTTTTCTTGTTTTTTTTTTCGACAGGCAGAGTGGACAGTGAGAGAGAGAGACAGAGAGAGAAAGGTCTTCCTTTGCCGTTGGTTCACCCTCCAATGGCCGCTGCCGCCAGTGCACTGCAGCCGGCGCACCACATTGATCTGAAGCCAGGAGCCAGGTGCTTCTCCTGGTCTCCCATGGGGTGCAGGGCCCAAGCACTTGGGCCATCCTCCACTGCACTCCCTGGCCACAGCAGAGAGCTGGCCTGGAAGAGGGGCAACCGGGACAGAATCCGGTGCCCCGACCGGGACTAGAACCCAGGGTGCCAGCGCCGCAGGCGGAGGATTAGCCTATTGAGCCGTGGCGCCGGCCTCTTCTTCAATTCTTGTTGAACTCAGTACAAATTCCAGGACAGCCTCCCCTTACGAGAGATCTAACCTAGCCCTCCAGTAAAGGCTACCTTAGACTCATCCCAACAAACCTTAAAAACATCAAGCTGATCTGCAAGTACATTAACTGTTTAGAACAAAACTCAGTACTCTGTTAGGGAAGACAACAAAATACACTAAACAACAGAATGAGTAGCATCTAGCATACAATAACAATGACTAGACTGGGGCTGGCATTATGGCACTGTGGGTTAAGCATTGTGCTTGCAAGGCTGGCATCCCACGTGAGTATTGGTCCAAGCCCCAGCTGCTCAGCTAAAGCATCGGAAGATGGCCCAAGTGCTTGGGTCACTGCCACCCACGTGGGAGACCCAGATGGAGTTCCTGGCTCCTGGCTTTGGCCCAGTCCTAGTCATTGTGGCCATTTTTGGGCAGTGACCCAGTGGGTGGAAGATCTCTGTCTCTTCCTCTGCCTTTCAAAACAAAATAAATAAATGAATCTTTAAAAAAAATTAACAAAGTAGAAAAAATATGGTCTACCAGCAGTAAGAAAAACCAGCTGACAGAAGATCCAGAATGGAGACATTCGGCAGACCAGCAGTGACTGAAAAGTCGGTATTACAAATGCATGCGAGGATTTCAAGGAAAATGAACTTAATAAGGAAACAAAGACTCTCAACAGAGAAATGGAAACTATATAAAAACATTCAAGGGGTCGGCGCTGTGGCATAGTGGGTAAAGCTGCTGCCAGTTCGAGTCCCGACTGCTCCACTTCTGATCCAGCTCTCTGCTAAGGCCTGGGAAAGCAGCAGAAGATGGCTCAAGCCCTTGGGCCCCTGCACCCACGGGGGAGACCCAGAGGCAGCTCCTGGCCTCGGATCAGCCCAGCTCTGGCCATTGTGGTTATTTGGGGGAGTGAACCAGCAGGTAGAAGATCTTCCTCTGTGAGTGTGTGTGTGTGATTCTGCCTTTCAAATAAATAAACAACCTTTACAAAAGAGAAAAATGATATGACATGGGTACGCTTGAACCAGAAAGTAGGCATGACCAAAAACTCCTAGACAGGCTAAGAGCTGATAAGATACGGCAGGGAGAAAAAAAAAAAAAAAAAAAAAAAAGGTGTGTGGATTTAAAGGAACAGAAACACTCAGGAGACAGGGAGGGAAAAAGGCTGCAAGGCAAACTGAGCAGAGCCTTGGGGACAGCGAGCCGCCCAACACGTGCGCCAGAAACAGCAAAGGCGAAGACAGAGATTACAGGGAGAAAACACGGGAGGGAATAACGGCCAAAAAACTTTCCAAATCGGATGGAAAAATACACACCTGTCGACCCAAGGACCTGCAGACCAGTGAGCACGGAGCAGGAAAAACACAGACAAGAAAAGAGCGCACCAGGAGGAGACACTGATTCCCGTGGGGAGGTGGGGGGAGGGACCCGGGGGGAGGCGGTTGTGTTCGCTCAAGTGCTTGATCTCCGGCTGAGAAACAGGTTTTTCAGTGATGGAAAGGCCTGGGGAAAATACGACAAAATGCTCACAGTCGCCACTTCGATGGCGATACCTTCCAGCATTTGATGGTATCTTGGTTCTTTTATATTTTTACATTTCTCCAAGTAGAATTAAAAAGTCTCCATCCGCGCGCCGCGGGCACATGCTCAGACTTTTGTAAAACAGATTTCAGAAACTCAGAAAGGACGCAGGCTCCACCACCACGAGCTAGGCGGACGCCCCTCCGTCAGCAGCCTGCAGAGCCGGGGCCTGCAGTGAGCTTGGGAGGAGGGCGCAAGCCCCGCGGCTCCCAGGCCACCGTCCTCCTCAAATGTCTGCTCCAAGCAGCCCAGCTCCTGCATGAGCCTCCTCGAACCCCTGCGTCTTCCAGCTAAGGGCCCTGGGCAAGGTCGTGGGGGATGCCGGGAGGAGTGGAGTGGCGTTCCCGAGCGCTGGGTCCAGGAACCCGGCTGTCCCGGCTCCAGGCTGCTTCCTCTGCCCAGCGCCCTCTGTGGCATGGGTCCCTCAGGAGCCCCAGATTGGAGATCTCCCCCAACACTCAGAGATCCAAGGGGACTGTGTCTCCTGGGGGCACCTGCAGCCTGCTGCCTTCCGGTTCTTTCTTCTGCCAGGAGCCCAGGTCCTGTCTCCATCCCCCTTCTCACCTCCACAGTTTATTTCCACCTCCGCCACCAGCCCTATCCTCTCCCGAGGAGTCTGCTCCAACCTGGGTGTTCACAGTGTCTCCCGAGGGCTTCCTGGACCCTCACAGAGACCACGTGATGGCCTCCTGCTTTGCCCTCGCCATGCCTTTTTGTCTGTGGATACGTCTCAGCCCCTTCCCGTAGCGTACACAGCCTGCGGGGCCTGGCTTCTCCCTCCCCCACCTGCTCGCCACACCCCAGCCTTGCCTGCTACCCTCTGATGCTCAGCCCCAGCCTGGAACACTCTTCTCCCCACTTGGAGCGTGGCTCACTCTTACTCACGCTCAAAGCCTCAGCCGAGACGTCCCATGCACACAGGGGCCTCCTGGACCCTAGAATCTCATTCAGA